AAGATATTAACTAAAGCAATAATCTCATAAAATAAATAAATAAATAAAGCAGATAACGTGAAAGAACAATAGATAAGGAGTAAAACAAAATATGTCGTTAATGAGATATATAAGAATTTAAAATTCTGAGTCTATCATTCTTTCCCCACAAGTTCTCATATCTTGAATTGCAAACGGCTGCTTACCATTCACATTTTCACATAAATGGCAAACTATGGACCTCCCTGATCTACGTAGAGCAATGCTCATATTTTGCAAAATCTTTTGTTCTTCTTCATCAAAATTGGAAAATAAAATTCAACAATTGTTAAATAATTTTAAAATATAGAAATTAAAGGAAATTACACATACCATTATTTGACAATTGTTTGCCATTATCTATTATGCTGAACTCTTGCTTTCTTTTCTACCTGTGGAAAGTTGTATTGTGGCTCAAATATTGCAGAACAAAAGTAAAGAGGCTAGGTTGTTAACTTGAAAAACACAATCTTTGACAAAAACAATAATTAATCATTATCCATCAATGTCTGTTAAGAATTTGAAGTCAATCTCTCTTTAGAAGAAGCACTTGTACACATTTCCTTTCCTACCCATCATTCGTTATCATCTGTAACCACTGCCTCCATTCCTATCCACTCAACTCTGGATTAATTTTTAGCTTTCTATCTATCTATTACCAGCACTATCAGTACCATAAACATTATAAAGATCCAGACTTTCAATAACTAAATTACTACTGAAAACATCATAAACATAAAAATTATGAGGAACTGATGACTTTTATGAAATTTATTAACTATAAATTATTTGAAATCTCAACAAAAGGGGCAACTTGCTTTATCTACCTTTATTACACCCAACAATAAAAACAACTGAAATAAAGATTCTTTTGTAGAGCATTACAAAATTATACTCACCAGGTCATTGTAAACAATTACACCCTCATCATAGAACTTGTGCTCAATGATCCCCAAGGGGTTAGGTATTAGTACCCTAATCACAATTTCCACCTTTTGCTATAACTGCCTCATATAGATATACTTAACAAAAAGTAAAGTTTCAATTTGTCTTTCTTTTTAATTTAAACTACAAAGAAAAATAATGTGAAACTCTATAATAAGATATGCTAAATTACACATCAGAGAAATCAACTACTTTAGATTCAAAATTTTCATAAATAAATCATAAATAAAAAAAACCTAATATCATCTACAAATGAGTATTGCAACGTTGGTGAATGGGCATGGTATACTGTACAACTGTCCATCAGCGAAAAAAATGCTCATCTTAGTCTCCCTCAATTTGCAAACTCAATCACATTCAATATTGCCTGGAAATGCAGCAAGTTACTGGTGAAATTTGTAAGCAACCTTAATTGAAGTAAGTCCCACCTCATCAGACCCTTTTATTTTTTTTTTTTCGCAATCCCACCTCACCAAACAAAGGATGCATTTTACAATTATTCTATCAGTATTTCCAGAAACTGTGATTAGGAACTAAATTTTATTCTTCTATACTATATAAATTTGCTTAAAAAATATATCTTTAATTTGGAAAAAATAGACTTGTTCATCTGCCAAAGTCTCTCTCTCTGCTTGTCTCTGTGTCCTATTGTCTTCACTTTTCCCTCTACTTCTCCCCTTTGTCTAGAGATGTATAAGCAGCAGTAAATTCACAATTTAATTATTTTTATAATTATTATTTTGGATTCTTCTATTCCATTCTTAATAAGTAACACCATGTATTCCAAAAAATTATTGAGCACATTATCAACTAACACTTGAAGTCCTCAATTATCAGCAACCATGGTTCCTATGCTTTCCATTAATCAAAACAGAAAGTCTTAAGATATTAAGTAAGCAATTGAGATTCATAAACAGAAGCAAAGCAACTAAAAATGATATCCATTTAACAAAATATTCAAATTTAATTAAAATTTTTTAACATGGCATACTAAGATATTAAAATTGACATACACTATGTTTTGTTATTAATATTTGTTTGTTTGCTAACTCTCTAAAGATTTCTAGAAGTAGTAAATCAAAAATAGAAACCAAGTGTGTCAGAAAACCAAACTTACAGTTGTTCCGAAACAATTCCCAAGCTCATATGGCAGAGGACTGGAAGAGTTATTTAACCCAACTGACATACAAAATAATCAAATTATGAACTTGGCACCATACTCTAGTTAATGGATTGTGGATCTACACCCTTAAAGTTCATGCTTATTATCACCATTCTCTTCATCCTCTTCAGCTCCTAATTTTGTCCTTTTATCCAACATTTGCATATGCCAATCCTTCAATTCATGGTTATTTTCTATTTCATCCAAACAAATATAGCCTCAAAATCAATTCTAATTGTAAATAACTATTTATCTTTGGATTTAATTTCAACTTTCATGGCATTCTGTAGTGGGCCAATTTCTTCCCAATCTTTTAATTTATTTTCTGTCAAATTAAAGATAATCTTCTCAACATTAAATTAAAGAGAAAAATAATGAACTTAATAGAGGGTAACTTAGAAATGTGAAATTTTGTAGATAACATCATATTTCCTTATGGATAGAGAGTTAAGGATCAGAATTAGGGTGGTGCTTCCACGTTCTCATATATTTATCTTTCGAAAGACCATATATTCCTATATTGCAACTAGGAACTATTTCACACTGCATTGGATTGAATGAGATGGTTGAAGGTTATTGCAGATAAACAACTGTTTTATTCAAGTTAGACACAAATGCAAGTATAGGGGCACAAATGCATCTACTTTTTTGCACTATTTACTCTAGATGTTGCAAGTATGCTCATGATTTCATCCCTGGTTCTATACGATGCTCCACTTTAATCAAAACTCCAATAAGGTTTGATGAAATAAGACCTTGCGCGTAAGAATACAATTTGATGTTATGGGCAAAACAAAACTATTTGTTCTTTACACAACTGATTACATATACTGTAAATGTTAATAATCAGATGAAAATAACTAATCACAACAGTAAGCGCTCACTAAATCTTCAAATATCTTAACTAAAAAAATGAAATGGGTTTATCTTATGGAAAGAAAAACTCATCTGGTCTCTGGCTTCATCTTGTTAAAAAGATAGATAGAGCAGAAAACAAAAATTATACATACCTAAGCCAGATATGATTGTCCTCTTGCAAGTGAGAAACACTAGGAAGGTGTAAATTTGCAGCCCGTCAATCATGGAATACGACAACCAAAGCCTGGGCAGCAACAATGTCGTTGATTGCTCACCCGCCGTGGAGTACTGGCCGACGCCTCTGTGGGTTGAAGGTACTCTTACCAAGCCAAACAAGGGAAGGCTAGAAGTGGGGAAGGAAGTTTCTGATGAGAACCACTGGGTATTGCTGAACTAATAAAAAGAGTTATCACAATTTAAAATCAAATTTATCAAATAAAAATGATAAAATCCCATCACATTACAATTTTGAAATTGAATTTAACAGAAAGAACATATTGAAATTAAATGTATAAAATTTCGGTGATAACAAATAGAATGTCAGGTGATAATTTTTAGTTGAATAATGATAAATAAACTCAAAATTTAAAATTAATGACTTGTTATAAATTATTTTATTTAAAATATTAAAATATTAATAAATAAGTTTTATTTTATTTAATAATTAATTATTTTATTTTTTAAAATTATAATATTATATATAAAAATTAATTTAATAATATAACTTATGTCCATTTGTGAAATTTTTTTTTCACCCTATCATTCCTCTTTTCAGTCTGTTTATAATCATTTTTCATTTTTGGGTTTTAAAGGAATTTTAGATATAATCAGAGCAAAATCTAATAATTAAGCTTTTATTGATTATTTATTTGTTGAAAAATGGCATGCTAATTATCACCTTAGGAATGCCCGGCAGGCGCAGCGTGAACGGGAAACCAGACCGCCTCCACTCCCATCATTAAAAAAATTACAAATAATCTTTATTTCAATGCTTAATTTTTAATATAAATGATTTATTGGTTTAAGTAAAATAAATTTAATTTTTATTAAATAATATTTTAAATTTAAGTTTTATGAATAAATAAATAAGAGTTGGAAGAGCTTTTCTTATAAAGTTTGACGTAATTCGATATAAATTAATCAAGATTTAATTTAATTTTCAGATACTAAAAAATTAGTATCATAAATTAACTAGTTTTTAATTGTATTACCTATAAGAGAAAGATAAATATCATGGATAATTAAAGTTAATACTCCATTTATTTATTTTTAATAGTTCCAATTCAATTTTTTAATTTTTCAGACATGAATTTTAAATAAAAATTTAATAATTAAGATGAACAACAATTAATTTTTCCAAAGTGTAGTTTTTGTTGAGTATTTTTAGTTAATAAAAAAATTTTAATTATCATTTATATAATATGTTATATTTTCATTTAAAATTCATATTTGAAAAATAAAAAGTTAATTTAAAACTACTAAAAATGAAGGGAGAGTAATTACAATAAGATTGAAGTAAAAAAAAAGTCAACCTTTAAAAAGAAATATGACACAAATTTTAAATAAAAAAACTAACAATTATTTTTCTAAAATAAAGATAGATTAGTTAAATTTTGTTGGGGTGTATTTTTATTAGTGACTGATCAATGAGTAACACGGCCAACTCTAACAAAGAACATGGGGAGATTTTGTTGAAGAATTGAGTTTGTTGTTAAGATTTTAATTGTTAGAACCTTTTCCTTAAGCTTTCGCCAATGCTCGGGCTAGTGGATTAACGAGATCATCTTATCAATAAATAACAAAGGAGGGACTCTATCAAGAACTTCATCAATGTGTTCATCCAAAACCGGCAAACCTTGCGAGAATGACAAAATAATGACAATTTTATTTTGGGAAAAATATGCAGCAATTGTTAAAAAGAGATACAATAAATAGAAGAAAAATACATATTCATCTTATTCCACACATGGTAATACATACATATTTCATTCATTTGTTAAAAATTTCACATACATTAGTAGAAAAAGAAAGAATTAAAAAAAAAAATGTGTGGGAGAAAGGTTGACAGATCTACAAAGCTTGCCTTCAATGTGAAAGTGTTATCTTTGTTAGTGGGTTAACCGCCATGATAGCTCACTCAATGAGGAAGAGGACAATGAATATTTACCTCTTTGATAATGACAATTAAACTTGTGTCAAAAGAGTTTAGAAGAGAAAGAGAATTACAAGTTGGAGAACATCATCCTATAGCTTTTGATGAGATGTATAACTTTGATAGAGTATTTTGTGTATTTGGAGAGTGCTTATGGATCAAAATGGAAGACAATAAATCAGTTTAGAGAGAGAAAGCTACTGCAAGTAGTGAGAGAAAGTCTCAACTCTCATAACCTTAAATTTCTTGAAAAAGTGGTGAAAAGATTATAAAGATTATGAAAAAAATGGTATTTATAGTGCCTCGAGGCAATTTTATAATTTTATGAAGTAAACTAATTTGAGACCATTGGATAACCATCTTAGGTTAGATGAGGATATATGTCCACGATGTATTAACCTCAATACACCCCTTTTTTTACCTATTGGATAATGAGGTATTTTGGCTAAAAGTTTGAAATTAGTAGAGTGATAGGAGATTCTAACTTATTTGGCTACAAAACAAAAAAATACATTTGGTAAATTTTGTAACTTCTTGAATCCCAAATCAATAGAGAATTGTGAGTAAATATAGTATATAAGTATGAAAATTAACCATTATTAACAACTTAAGCTCAAAATTTTGAGAGTCCATAAACCTTTGGCCTATACAGTTGTTAGGCCAATAACGAGTTTCAGCCTAAGTTGTTTCAGTTGGTATTCAAGATTTTACCCCTATAAATTTTGATTGTATTTAGGCACATTAAAAATTAGGGGAGATTATAATGCCTTGAATCCTACATTGGTGGTAAATTATGAGTGAGTAACTACAGACTTTAGCCCTTTCAAGATCTATGTTAGGGGTTGTGAATCCATGATTTGGCATAATGGTTTTATTAGGTAGGTCAAACCACCTTGGACAATAGGTTGCTCCCTTGTTTTCTCCTTGGTTTGGGTTTAACTAAAAGAATAATAAGGGTGAGTTTTTTCCCTTTGACGAACATTCTACACCTTTCTGCAAGCCTTTCCCTGCTATTCATCAAAAAAGGATTGACAAGGATGGCACCAAGCTTTTCCACATCAACATCTCATTTTGACGATGAAATAAGATTAGTCATTAAATGCTTTCCATGCCATTACACAGTTACAATTTTTTTAAGGTACAAATGTTTTACAGGAATAGTATTTTTGACAAGTTATGAATGACAAGCAAACTCTATCATAAGTTTGTCAATAGATGCTACTAGTATTGTCAACAACTCTTGTTGCAAATTAACAACCTTCACCTCTCGTGTAGTTTAGCATGGTTTTCCATTGTTTGATCTACAAGTAATGGCAAGCAAGGTTTGGCAAGTGAGGTTCAATGAACAATTTGGTAATAGTTTGCTAATCATGAATAGTGGTGACTTACCAAACTTTTGTCAGTCATTGTCATAACTCAAATTTTTATCAAAAAAATATAAAATATAAAAATATAAAAATATAAAAATTTCCCTTTTCTTTGACTAATATATCTTTATTTTTGTTTCAGGTGCTACATGCAAAAAGAAATTGGAAAATTCAAGAAGAAGAAAGAAGGGACTCAATTGAAGAAATTAAAAGTTAGAGGGTGAAGTTCATCAAAATGAATTTACAAATCCAAACCCAAAACCCATCAAACCCAAAACCCAAAGCCTACCATTACCCAAAAAACCCAAACCCAAAACCCATCAAAACCCAAACCAAAAAAACAAAAAAAAAAAAGGGAAGGTGTCTAGAACCTTCTTTTTCCCCCATCAATTTGTTTTTTATCCTGAACCAGCCCACGCCCTGCGCCTCACGCCCTGTGCCCTACTGCACCCGTGCCCTACTGCACCCGTGCCTGCGCCCTATTGCACCTGCGCCTGTGCCTGCGCCCTACTGCACCTGTGCCTGCGCCTACGCCTTGTTGAGCCCGCGCCCTGCTGCACTCGAGCCTGCTCTGCCAGAGGCCTGCACAAGAAAAAAAAAAAAAAAAAGAGCCTTCGGTCCTTACTTTTTCCCTGTAGAAACCAGTAGCTTGTGGAGAGGCTAAAAGGTTCAAATTTTGGCATTTTGGGAATCAACGGTGGAGAAGAAAAAAGGAGGATCGGAAGGCTAGGAAGAGGAGGGTTTTTGCCTTTGCTTTTATGGGGTATAAATAGAGGGTTTTAGGTTAGAAAGGGGGGGTTTTTTCTTTGGTTTGAGCTTGGTGCTGACGGCGGTTGAAAGGGAAGCTAATTTCTCTGTGTTTGCTTCTACTTTAGGTAATTTCTGAACAAGGGAGCCTTCTGGGAATGGTGGTGAAGGGGACGATGGGAGCCTGGTCCCGTGGGTGGGATCCCTCCCATCAGATTTGGATCCATCTTACCCAAAAAGCTCTGCCGTGGGTGTTTTTCTTATTTTGGTGAATGTTTCTGCATCTTTTTGTTTAATGTTCAAGCTTGTACATGTTCCGTTTGAAATTGAATGAAAAATCAAAAAAGAAAATTTGTTCAGTTCATTTTGTTTAATGAATATGCTTTCCTTTTTGTTTTTCGTTGATGAATGTGATCTTTTTATGATGAATGTGTTCTTTCTTTTGAAAATGACGAACCGTAATTTTAGTCTTTTTTTTTTATGTTCGATCTGTCCTTGCCTGTTTTAGTTGATGGGTTGTGTTTTTGTGGGTCGGGTACCCGACCCAACCTAAAAAAAAAACTAAAAAATGTTAAAAAGAAAAAATATATATAAGTTTTTATTAATTAATTAGGTGAGTTAGTTTAATTTAGGTTTAAGTACCATTTTGGTCCCTCAACTTTTCACTTTGGCACCAAAATTGTCCCTCAACTTTAAAAAGTACCAAAATTATCCTCAAACTTTCATTTTCGGTACCAAAATGGTCCTTCCGTCAGTTAAATGACAGGTGTCACGTTAAAATACCAGCAAATCAATTTTTTTTTGGTTAACTAATGACATGGAAAAAAAATATATAGTTGGATATCTTTTATTATGAGGTGGCATTTTCATTTAATTTAAAAATAATAAATCTTTTTTTTTTTCACCCACGTCAGATTTCTTCTTCCCCTTTCATTTTCTCTCTCCTTTACCTTTCCTTCTCTGCAAACCCAGGCTCTAGGTTTTCTCAAACGACCGC